ATAGAGTTAACTGCAACACGGCACCAAGGCGGACACAACACTGCATCATTCATTCCCGACAGGTCATGGTTGTGTGTGTGTGTGTGTGTGTGTGTGTGTGTGTGTGTGTGTGTGTGTGCGTGTGTGTGTGAGAGAGAGAGAGAGAGAGAGAGAGAGAGAGAGAGANGAGAGAGAGAGAGAGAGAGAGAGAGAGAGAGAGAGAGAGAGAGAGAGAGAGAGAGAGAGAGAGAGAGAGAGAGAGAGGACCATGGAAAGCAGACAGGAATAGGGAATGGATTGTTCTGATGAATGGAAGCAAAAGAAGAATAGCGAAATTTTACACAGTCGATACTGGATCCAACTAGGCATTGAAGAAAAACTCACATTACTTCAGCAGATGATTTGGATGAAAAATCAAGCGTAACAGAGTAACTCCAGAACAGCCTTCCCTCCACCTTGAACCCCTCAGGACCTGTCACCCCAAGTTCACCTAAGCCCAGATTCATGGAGCTTAATCCCGAGTTGCTCCTCTATGCAACTCATCCCCCTTCAGAGGTAGTGTGTTTGTTCGCATGAGCTTGTGTGCTTGATACCTTCCAGTTCATCCTTCCTTGACGCAGAACAAAACAAAACATGTCTCGACGTTGCTGCATTTGTGACATGGACCCGCTCATGTGCTTCAGAGGCCTGATGATCAACTCTTCTGAAATGCCCCGAATAGCGTGTGTGTGTGTGTGTGTATCCGCATGAGCGTGTGTGCTTGATAACTTCCAGCTTCACAATGCCTTAACATGGACCAGAACAAAACATGTCCTGCCCACGAATGTCACTGCATTTGTAACATGAACCCACACAAGTAGTAGCGGTTATTGTGCCCGGTTGAGTCACCGTCAAGTCTTCTGAAACACCGTACCCTCGTGGACGAATTCACCAACCAACAAAGCCAAAAGTTGATGTAATATGTTCACCAGCAATGGTTGTCTTCACTGATTCACTGGCCAAGCCATCCAGTCATAGATAGCACACAATCCTGTGCACATAGCAGCTATTACGTCTGAAAAAATCGCCAGAACAGCAGAAGCCAAAGAAAGAAAGATTACGTAATTGTCTGACGATGCCTCGTAGTTCAGGTGGATAGTGCATAGAACCATCTGATTACACCACACAGCCGAACTGAGAGCAGCCGGTCTTCAACAAAAACATCCAGCACCAGGCCACCTGGACAAGCTGAGCCTCATGCTGAATTGAATGAGGGCGTACTCACACTAGCACTATCTTAAACGTATCTGACTGCATTTATGGTCGCACCACGATGCATCTGGCCGCCGTCTGGGCAGAAATAACTAAAAAAATTATAGTGTGAGCACCCCCTGAGAAGGGCGATCCCCTTACCCCATATGATGCATGCTCCACCATTCACAATCGGTCGATCAATCTTTATGCCACAGAGAGACAGAGAGAGCGAGAGAGAGAGCCAAGGTATGGATACATACAAATTCGCTGTTTGGTGGGGGAGGGCGGCTGTCAGAGAAGGCCGGACATGACTTTCTCTAGCTCACTGGCCTTGGCCACAAGAGCATCTCGATCCCTCTGCAGCTGCTCAATCATGGCGTCCCTCTCATCCTCGGTTGTCTCTAGCTCCTCCATCAAAATCTTCATCTCCTCGTTCTCCCCGTCCTCATCGATCATGGAAAGCGCCTTTCTTATCAGCTTGCGAACCTGCATCCCATCACCACTCAGCATTTGAATGAGTTCTTATTTAGAGTTTGGCCAACAAAATTCCTGACTGCTCGCTGAACGTGTGTTTTCACTGTTTTGACAAAACCTTATAAACCTGCTGTTCTGTGCTTTTCACTTGCTATACAAGACAAAGGTGGCTGCAGGGAGGAGCTATGCGCTACCTGCTAGTTTTCTCACATGAATGAAGTATGATGACCATTGTGCCCAACTCAAGTGAGGGAGGATCATCGCATACAACCCGTCAGATGCCAAGAAGGCAAACACAAAGAGGCCCCTAGCACTAACAAGAGTCCAACCAAGACATACTGAAACGGTATTCACCAGTTCGAAGTAGCTGATGTAGGACCCAAGGTTCGATCCCTAGATCCCCAACTTACCTGTGTACAATATCTGTGACCACTTGAAGAATTGAACCTGCGACCTGTAGAACCGCCAGTGGTAAGTAGGTCTGTCGTAGGTCCTTAGGTAGCCAGGATTTGATCCATAGACTTGTAGAGTA